CCCCCAAAGGAGCGGGAGGAGAAGTTTCCGGAGGAGCAGCCGTAGGTCATGTTGAGAGGAGGTGTGAGCTCAGCTGAGATACAGTGAAAAGATGTTCTAATGTCCCTGCCTGCTCCCAGCAATATTTATATACCTTCCTTCTGTTGGATGTGATGCTGTATCAGAGACCCTGCCCATTCTTGTGCGTCTTTTCATGAAATGACTAATTAATCTAGACTATAATTATAAATGAGTGCATTCCTGTGTCCTTAACTGCATATAAGCATTCTGATTTATAGAAGCCACTCTGCTTCTTTGTTTTGCTCAGATATAAGGTGTGGTTTGCTTTTTAAAACATTGCTCATGGTGCACATAGTGGCCCTGTTCTTCATGGAGTTTGACTATGGGTATTTTGAGGGTGAGTGTGTGTAATTTCCCCTGCAGTATACTCCTAATACTCATCAGTACCCACCCTCTTAATTATTTACATATGATTTATCATGCACTTATTATGTGAAAAATATTTAAAAGTATGGTATGATTCCATCTTTGCAACAAACTTGTAGAAATTATCAGAATTGTTTGAGATAATTTAGGAATAAGGTTATAGAGATTTAGAGATGTCATGTAAGCTCCAGTAACAGATCAAAAAGTGCCATTTGCATTTACCTAGTATCACAACCTAGACATGTTTATCTCCAAAGCTGCTAGAATCAACCACAATCTTTTATTGACAATTTGAGCTTATCCTTTTTATTTACAGAACTGCATATTAAAAATAAAATCGACTGAATCTAAAGCAAAAAAATATTATATTTTGCATTCATTAAGATAGTAACCTGGGAAATACAGATTCAAGCAGTCTTTCAAATGTATTCTGAACTTTTACAAAATGGTGGTTGAGGGGCTGGAGATTTAGCTCAGTGACACAGCACCTGCCTGGCAAGCGCAAGGTCATGAGTTCAATTCCCCATACTGGGAAAAAAAAAAAAAAATGGTGGTTGAAGTTATAGCTTCAAACAGCAGAGAGTTTCTAGGAAATTTTATCACTTGTTAGTATTTCTGTTTGGTCCTAGCAAAACTAAACTGTTCTCTATGAAGGGGACTGAATGCAATGTCAGTAGTTGGGTAGAAAGGTGCAGATCAGCAGAGGTTAACAGTATTTGAAGAAACTGTCCAGTGCATGGATTTAGCTCAATCCTAAATGCAACACATATCCAAGTGCTTAAGTACAATCTGCCCATTTTATTGGCCCTGCTGTGGCCTGAGATTAAAGATGGCCTCCCATGGGCCAAGGACATAGCTCAGTGGCATAAGTGCCTGCCTGGCAAGCGTAAGGTCTTGAGTTCGATTTCTAGTACCAAAAATAAATAAATAAGTAAATAAAGATGGCCTCCCAAACCCTTCCTAAGTCCCCTGACCCAACTTTATTCCTTTTTGACTTTGTTTTCCTGGTCATACATGAAGAATTAAATATTCAAATGAAAAACATAGTATTTCAGACTATGATACTTGCATTTTATCTGATATTTCTACTGGGATATTCTTTAGTTTTTGTGAAGTCTGCAAACACGGCCACAGAAGCCACAACTCCTTAATCTTTTTTGGTTATTATTTTTTAGTATTCAGTTACTATGGTGATGCTTGTTACAGTCTAACTTCTATCGATGCTGTCATTCAGCTTATCACACTCAAACAACTCACGGTCTAGCCACCCTGGAGTTATTAGATTCTTTTTCTGTGTGAGGCAGAAAATTCTTTGGCAAACACTTCTGACTATCCCTGGGAATAATTGCTGAAAATTGCTGGAATTCCTTTAGTGAGCTGACTACCAATGAAACACATTAGCAAAAACTTGAATTTTAATAGCATGCTAACCTTTGCCAGCTCAGTTGGGAGTGAGAGATTTGACACCTTACAGAGTGATTCATTTCACTCCCTGCTGCGCATCTCTTTCTGCTCATCTTTCTAGATAGACAAAGAAGGCTAAAATTTGCTTTCATATGAAGTAGTTAAAATTATCCTCATCTGTATTAAAAAAAATCTATGGTATAAAGAAAAACCCTGGAATTAAAAAAATGTCTATTTCTTCTCCTATTATCATGTCTAACTTCTACTCTAAGGTATCTTTTAGGAACTGAAAAGCAAAAGAGCTATGCAATTTTATCTTTTCAAATTGTCTCAGAGATGATTGTTATTTTTTTCTAATCTCCTGCAGTATTTATTTATCTGCCAAGAGAATATTCTTGTTATTGTTCTACTTACAAATCTCCAGTGAATGCCTTGCTCAGTCTCCTCACTCCCACGCTATATCATTGTCATTCCTTAAAGCCCAAACCAAACGCCTCATGTCTGACAGGTGTTCATCTCCACTGGGCCTGGATTCTGCAGGAACCCGAATCTCAGTACTTTAGAAGCTTGTGAATGTGGGTAAGTAGGCACACACGTATGTGCACATACAAACACACACACACACTATTGATATAGGGGAAGGAAATTCCCAACCTGCTAGATGTCCAGTATGAGTTTGCGTTCTGTAAATCCAAGAATGAATTTTAGGAACAATGGAGGTTAAGAGCAGAGTATATTTATTGGGGGAAAGAAAGCTTCTGTCCAAGAGAGGGACACAAAGGGTTTCCACTGGGTTGCCAAGGACCTTGTCTTTTCTAGAGATTTTTATAGAGCAAATCCATGACTTCAGGAGGGTCCAAGATGGGAAAAATGTGAAATCATAAGGTGGTCAATGAGGTGAGATAAAGCTATAGTCAACCAATGAGATTAGGAGTATAATTGCTCAGGTATAATTGATTAAATCAGGATCAGATGCGGAAGCAAGTCCAGCAGAAAGTGGGCATGAATACAGAACAAGGGCCTTTCCTGTATCGGAATGGGTTGGTGGCTCTTGGCTTTCTCCAGGTGATAGAGACCTACTTAGACTATCAATCCCTAATATTTACCCTTAGGAAGAATGTGAGTGCATTTGTTTTATCTTTTGTCTTGAGATCTGGCCCACAGCTGGAAGGGCCTGTCTCTCCCATAGTTGCAAGGTATCTAATCTTTCATACTGGCTCCTTCAAGGGCCAAGCCCTGTATGACCACCTATAATATTTTGATGTCTTTAAAAATGATCCGTTTTTTAATCAGTAGGATTTCAGCTTGCAGAGGAGTCACATACGGGAATAGTGCGGTACCCTGAATCTCAGGGGGCCTGGTGACTCTGTTTCGTCTTTGTGGTGGCTCAGGTACAGTAAACTTAATTGGCTTTGGGGTCCACGCTGAGGACTGGAGGAGCACACTTCTAGATGTGTGTGTGTGTGGGGGGGGTCCCGGAAGTGTGAACTTAGTCTACTTCCGGTCCTGCGCTCCTTCCCCACTAGCCCTGTCGCCCTGCTCTGCTCCCAGGCCTCTGTGCACTAAGCACTTTGCTCCCCTTCCCCTCCTGCCATAGTGTTTCAGCTTTGGAACCAGCTTATCGTGGATAAAATCTCCTGAAATCTTGAATGGAATTAAACCTCTTTTCTTTTAAGCTGTGGGCCTTAGGCATGAGAAATTTGAGTAATATAGTCTTTTTATTTGATCAGCATCTGGCACATCTTGGATGCTTTACCATCGTTTATGAATGAAAAAAGTAAATATCAGATCATTAACTTTGTATTTCAGTTTTATCCCGAGAAAATAAAAACATATAAAAATTTTGTTCTTATAAAGTGGTTTAATGAAGTATTATGTGATCTTGTAATTAAATATAATCCCTGAATTAATCATAACCAGTAGTGAAAATGTCAAGCTAGTGAGCCACTTTCAATGTAGACATAAAGATAGAAATTATGGTTTTATTCTCACTCCTTTCTGAACAATTTTTTAGTTCTTGTGTGTGAATTTGTACTTCTGTTTTTCTATTACACAAAGTTGCAAGATTAGGGAAACCATAATTTAGAGGGGGACAATTAGCCTGGCTAGAAATCTGGGTATAATATTTCACCACAAATATCTTAATCAGGCTTCTTTCCACTAGCCAGACACTTCCCTGAATTCAAACGTTCCATCCTGACCAGCCAAGTAACAATTTCCCCTAGTCACTGAGGTGTCAATGTCCTCATTATTTTTTTCTGCACTGGTGTAGGCATATCAATGTTGTTATTTCACTTAGGAGATCTTCAACAGTCTAGCTACTTTAATCTGTTATTGTATAATTTTTAACACTGCATATCCTGTTTTTTAGAAAATGCAACTGACCACAATTTTGAAAAAACTAAACATTTCTGTATATTGGTTTTAGAACTTTGAATGCTATTCTTAAAAAGAATACCACTATAATTTTTTAAAATATTAAAATTTGTCACATGCTTCATTGAAATCAATAAAACCCTTATAGAATCTGCTAAACATGGAAATTCATTTCTTCATTAGTAAGTTAGAAATGAGAATATCAAAATGTATAAATATATTTAGTATAGATACACACAAATTGAGAAAGCTCAAATATGTTTACCCATTTAGTAAATTAAGAAATTTTGCTAAAACACTTTGCATCCCTTTATACTACCTTATTAAAAGCGGTATTAGTCTGAAAGTGCTTATGCTAAGGCTTCAAAACACATTTATTTCATGGTTGAAGGACATAAAATAATAGAATAACAATAGAATAACAATAATAATAGAATAATAGGATAACAATAGAATAACATAAAGGGACACAATGTCATGGAGCTAAAGAGCTGTGCAATCTGGATTGCAATGGAGAACTCCTGCTCTTCAGTCCATTTCTGTTTTCTCCAGGAACTGTAAGTGAAAATTTATGCTCTGTTCACTTTTTGTTTCCATAAACATGGCCCCCTGCCATACTCTTACACTTGTACAAGTACATATTCTTTTCAGTGGCTCTGCCCAAGTTGTCATTTTTAACCTCACTTATATCAGAATGTCTATCTTTTAAAAATAACACAATTATCTTAGTCACTTTCCTTTTGGCTGATATAAAACTCCCCCAAATTTACAATTTAAGAGTTCTCTTTGAACACATGATTAAATCTACTCAGCCAGCTTTAAGGCCAAACAGTGTGGCAGAAAG